TATGCGCATCACACTCTAACATGTACGTCAGAAAATATGGACCAAAGGATTTTTTAATCCTAGCTCTCTTGCTACGTCTAGCTTCGAGCTCGGGTTCTCTTTCATACCCTCCAACCACAGCTATGTCAAACATTCATTTCAACGTGCTAGGTTCCTTCATTGAACCTTCGCAGAAATACATTCTCATGAGCGATGAATTTCTTGATTCAATTTATCGTGTTCTTATGTACGTCCAGAACATAGGACTCGTGTACTAAGAATAAAAAAAAATGCATTTGGCAAGACACCCCCACATTTCAGGTATTAGTAGGAAAGTTTTCTACGTACCCACAACCCATAAGAAGCCTTATCGAGTTTCATGCGGGTAACCTTATTTAAAAGGTACTTACTTGTCCAAAGTCTTGTCTCACCCCACACACTTTGAGGTAGACCCGAACTTATCAACGTCTTGATATTCATGTTCGGCAACACCGTCCGATTGAGGTGAATACTGTGTCGTACGCTCGAGTACGATACCAACGCTTACGCAGAAATCACCAATAGGTGTTTCATATTCACTACATTGATCGTTTCTAACCGCCTTAATTCCACGATTAAGTTGGTTTTCCACTTTATTCTTATAAAGAATAAATCTATCAACAACATCATTTTTGCTCTCAAGCAAAATTCACTTAGCACTATCGAGTGCTAGCGTTGATACTCCGAGAAGTACATCTAAGATGTCACCCGTAGGTACCCGAAAGGTTACGTACCTCCACTTCTCGATAACTCGCCTATGACCGAAAGGTACGTTTACTTCTCGATCACATGGCCTAGAGGTACTTCTAGCACTTCTCAGACCCGAGATGTGCGCTTCACTTCTCGGTGGTTTTGCCACATCACAAATATCACATTTGTGTTTATCATTAAATTTGGAATATGGTCTATGCTAATTAATCTACGTATAGATTCTAAATTACCATGACCTTGTCTACCGTACCTCGAACACGAAGACCCAACCAGGCAAGACCAATTAATAATGTTCTCATTAATTATGGTTATTACACCGAGCTTATAGCTCAATTACTAATTAACCATTGCCTTCATTCCAAATTTGGACAAAACCTTGTCTTAATCCACAATAGTGACAACTTTATAAATCATTACACCATTACTCGCAAGTTAGGTGGTTCGAGATTCATTTTGTTGTCCCAACACTTTCATCATTTGTCACAAATTAATTTCACACTAGTACAATTTGGTATCTTTAATCAAGTTAATTTTCACACAATTAACAAGATTATATCAACTAAATTTTCCAACTAGTTGAATCAAGCTTATATAATCGTATTAAGAATATTATTTAAAATATTCAATAAACTTGAGCTTTGACGCTCACGATTATATAGTCATCCCAATTTTGACAAATTGACTATATATACTTGAAATTTAGAACCGAAGTCCTTTACAAGATTTCAACGTGCAACACGTTTGTTACATACCATTATGGTCGTTAAGCCATTCAAGCATTTTCCGTGGAATTGCTTCTTGAAGTCCTTTCTGCTCAAAGACAACAAATGGATACTAGATTCCACTTGAAAGGCTTCACTCATGATCATTCCTTCGTCAACTTGACTTAGGACGATCCCGGAATCCACCATCTTGTATTTAAGTAATCGGCTAACAACAAACATTTTTGCCTTAGCGTCATCACTATTATACTTCAGGTCTAAAGATTCTCACAGCCCGTTAGCTGTTTCTGATCTACAGTATACACTGTACAACGAGTCACACAAACCGTTTAAAACATAGTTTAGGCATAGGAAAATCAAGTATTTCCAAATCCTCACTATGCTAACGGTTTGAGCGTTAGACTCATGTTCCTTTCCACTAGGAACCATCTCGGTCAAGAACCATGACATGCCGAAAATCATTAGGTTGTACAGCATTTTAAGTTGCAACCCTTCAAAATTCAACATCTTGAATTTCCATGGTCTTTCGACCAATCCACAAGGTACCGTCCCATGTACCTTCATCGTAGGGATATACCTTTGATGCCACCACCGGTTTCCGAACCAAAGTTCACCGGGGTTTTAGAATATGCAACTACGTTGCCGATCCGACCATTTGAATGTGCATCACGAGCAACATTCACGGGTCCACCACTCGTGGAATCCATCGATTTAATCACCAAAAATTAATCGATTTTAAGATTGTTGAATATTGGTGAATAAATCGATACACAAAATATATATAATATATATTTGTCTCGAAAAATGGAATTTAATTTATAGAAAATTAATTCCAACCAATTTTGGTACGAAACCAAAATTATATATATATATATATATATATATATATATATATATATATATATATATATATATATATATATATATATATATATATATATATATATTAACCAAATAGGGACTTATTTTATCAAAAAATAATCCCACCACAACTAGTTCGAAACTAGTACAAGGAATTTAATCCGAGATTAATCCCATCACAACTAGTACGAAACTAGTACAGGGGATTTAATCCTTACGAGATTAATCCCACCACTTGGTACGAAACCAAGAACAAAAAAAAAAAAACAAGAGAAGGGTTTCTAACCTGAGATTTTAACCCAACGAGAAAAAAGAAGAAGTAGAGGAAGCCCGAGTCGTGTGTACACACACTCTCCTTAAAACCGATTCGCCACCTCCCGAGGGTACTAGGATCATTGTAGTGTTAGTCTCCTAGAATAAAACGGACTACGACTTTGGTGTTCGAGCACTCCAACCCAAAGCCCGACGAACTGGAACACAAGTTGAGCACTCCGATGTTTTACGGAAGATGTTGGCAGAATAACTTTTCTCTTGTAAACGGAATGAGAGATGAGAGAAAACAAAAGAAAGATTTTTGAGAGTTTCAACTAGAATGTTCTTCAAAAAACTATCTGCCAACATCCTAAGCTATTTGTAGGGAAGAGTGAATAATTAGCCTAATAATGGCCATTAACCAACCATAGCGACCCGTTTCAAAATATCTGAGTGACCGAGAAGTCCGTACAAACCCGAAGGTTTAATGAATTGGGACCGAAAACCACACCCGAGTTTGTCCGCAAGCACCGAAACAGTGCAGCACGAATCAATGCATATAGCATTGACTCGTGCTCAGCACGAAAGTAGCTCACGAAAGAGCTCACAACTCCAACTTTCAGCATGAAACTAAAGCTTTCAATTTGCATGCACTTTCGTCCAGCATGAAAGCATAGCACGAAAGGTGCTAAAATCCCAAATTCACAATTAAGCTTTCAATGCTTAACTCTACTTAAGCTTATACACCCAACTTTCGTGTAGTGCAACGAAAGTTATTAAAATGCTTAAGTTTTTGACTTCTCTCAAATAGGTTCATTTTGAGAATTAATTTCTCATTCACCTATTACCCATTTTGAGCGTACATTATATCAAATTCTTCGTCTCACTACGAAGAACCCGAATCCACTCTGACTCCACCCAAATCGGGAGTGGACCCACATATAATTGTACCACAAAATAGTCACTCAAAATGTCATTTTTTACTAAAAATTCTAACAATATATATATATATATATATATATATATATATATATATATATATATATATATATATATATATATATATCATTTAATTTTGTGCGTAACTTATAATTTTCGCCTCTTAAAAATGAATCAATTATTTTTCACTTCCATGAAATCGAATAATAATGAGATAACTAATTCAAAGTATGGGTAAATAACTAAGGCCATCCTCAATATAGTAATGATCGTTTTATGGTTTTTGAGGTGCCAATTAAGAGAGAGGAGGTAAAGATAGAAGGAAAAAGAGAAAAAAAAAAAATTAAAAGCATGTCTGACGCGAAAAAAAAAAGAAAAAAAAAATAGAGCACCGGACAAGCAGTGCACGTGCCCGACTAGGCGCGATCTGTGCAATCCATGCACGCGGGCTGCGCCTAGCCTCTCTTTTCCCTTCTCTCTCTCTTGGCGGGCCCCACAAAAAAACCATTCTTGCAGGAGAACCCCAACTCTTCTCTCTCCTCCACATAACACTATTGGAAATTATGAAATTTCCGACCATCTGAAAGTGTTCTTAAATCAAGTCGAAAGCCTTGTTCCGACCATTTTTGGTATCCGGAAAAACCTTTATTGCTATTTCCGACCACTTTTTGATTTCAACTTGATTTAAGATCACATTCGGGTGGTCGGAAATTGCATAATTTCCAGTAGTGTAAGCTAAGTCATCTTCCCCTCAAAAACTGTGAAAAACCCACAGATGTAGATGTTGTAAGTTTTTTTTTTTTTTTTGAAAACGAATCATTTACACATTTTTAAATGATTGTTTATTTGGAATAATTAATTGTAACATATAGTATTCAAGTAATAGAAAATGTATATTATCATATATCAATCAAATTTATTGTCCAAGCCAGTTTGATATTCCTAATGATGCGATTATTCCCAAACGCTAAGGTCCGGAAATACAAGCAGTAGGATGACGGGGACAAAGTCATAGAGGTCGATATTAATATAAGTTTTACATTTTCATATTGAATCAATTCAACTTGACCCATTTCACATATAAGGATCTGTGTAACGGTCTCACATGAGTGCGCCCTTATTTCTATATCTGTGAAACTGACTCAGACAAGTGTAACCCTATTTATATTCGCATCGACCAAATAATAAAATTAAATTCATATTTTATTCTTACATTATTCATCACCTATCAAATTGTCATTCTTTATTCTCCTAATTCTCTTGTTACAGCTAAATTCCCCAAAATATATATATATATATATATATATATATATATATATATATATATATATAATGGGTTCTAGTATATATATATAATGGGTTCTGAGTCAATAATAATTGGTAGGATGTCAAAATCATTCAATAAAAAAAAGGAATAAATCTTCTTCCTTGCCTTTTCTTAATCTGAAACTCTCTCTCTCAAAATATTCCATCTTCATTTCCCACAGCATCTGGCATATCCTCTGTCATTTCTGCTGTTCTGCACAATTTCAACTTTCTCCTCCTCTGCTAAACCCTTTTGCTGCTGCATCAAATTAAAGCTCTGATCACATCTCCAAATTGGGTTCAATCTCATGTAAGTTTTGAAAAATTTTAAGTATAAATTTTTTTTTTTCCTTTTAGTGTGTGATTATAAGTACTTTTAATGTTGCTTTTTTTTTTTTGAAAGAACTTTTAATGTTGTTTTTAAATATATAAATTTTATATAATTAACACTAAATTTAGTATTATGAAAAATTAGATTAAAAATAACTTTGGTTAAGCTTTGCTAACGGAACTAAATACATGGTCATTTAATCATTTATTAATGGCTGTATTACTGTATTTGATATAGTAATTTACACATACTTTGGATGAGTTATCTCATTATTATTCGATCTAGGTGAAAGTAAAAAATAATGAGTAGATTTTGTGTGTTAACTAAAATGTACAGTAATACTTTTTTATAGACCTATAAAAAATATTATATTTTAGCTAAAGAATTAATACATATCTAACATGAGACATTCTTATATAAGACTTATTCAAAAATAATTGAGTGATTTTTAATAGGGAAAATTTATAAGCAACGAAACTCACAAAATGATGTATATTTTTTTTTATTATAAAGGAAGGAGATACCCATATATACAAAAAAGCTATTATGCCTTCATCTAGGCTCAAACCCATTACCTCCCACATAGAAAAGCAACTTGGTACCATTAGACCACAAGGTCCTTAGTACAAAATGATGTATATAATTCATAAAGATGACCTTATAAAAGTTTTAAAAAATAACTTTGAAAAATTAAATATTAATTATCAAATAGTTATACTTGGATAAGACCGTCTCACGGATTACTTGTTACTTATGATAAAAATCGTAATACTTATTACATAAAATTTTATACTAATTTGAAATAAATAAATCATTACTTATAATAGATATGATATTGTAATATTTATATGTGAAATTGTGATACTATTTAGGGTAAAATGATTGTTACTAATAATAAATATTTTTTGAAAAGACTAGTGATAAATATTGTAATACTTATAATTAAAATTGTGATACTTACATTTATGTTGTCTACAATCTGACCCGTCTTCAGGACAAGGATTTGTGAGATAGTCTCAAATAATTTTTTGCCATTATGAAAAGATGTTAGTTTAAGTGTTGAGTCTAAGCACTGCTTGTTGGAAAGTCCGATCATTCTTATTTTGCAATTTCTAGTCTAGTAAAAATAACATCCTTTGATATATATGCAGAATTTTCAACTTCCTTCCTGCTCTCTCTTTCTCTCACCCGCTATGGCTTTTGCCGCTATAACAATTTTGATGGATACACTCCACCAACACTACCTCCAACCCACTCCTCGTTTCCCTCTTCGCAACAAAACAAAGGTCAGATTACTTTACAAACATCTTTCTTCTTTGCAAACCTCTCTTGAACAAGATTTCAAAGTGGGGGACTGTGATGAAGCAATGAAAGCTTTGGAAGCACAAATGAGAGATGTCTCCATTGAACTAAGGTTCCAAATGAACACCATTTGACATTGTTTTACTTGGGGAAATCCATGAAGCTTAGGCTTCACTCTGCTCAAAAGCTTCTTCCCATTTTGAATGGAGCAACTAAAGGCGGCATAGAAACTATGAATTTGGAATCTGTGATGGAGATGCTACGGAAACACTTCACGCTGCCGGTATCACACATGCCGCCTCATATAAACAAAAGGGTCAAATCTTTTTCCACAGATTATGCTTTTCTTTTTGAAGAGGAGAGCCACGATGAACTGTGGGGCACTCATTTCAGAGAGTGTGCTTTTATTTTGGAAGAGCAGGGCGAGGATGAACAGGGGAGCGAGGATGAACAAGAGAGCGAGGATGCACAGTGGAGCGAGCATTACTGGAAATTATGAAATTTCCAACAACCTAAAAGTGATCTTAAATCAAGTCGAAAGCCTTGTTCCTACCACTTTTGGTATTCGGAAAAATCTTTGTTGCTATTTCCGACCACTTTTTACTTTCAACTTGATTTAAGATCACTTTCAAGTGGTCGAAAATTCAATAATTTCCAGTAGTGGAGGATGAACAAGAGAGCGAGGATGCACAGGAGAGCGATGATGAACAGGGAAGCGAGGATGAACAAGAGAGCGAAGATGAACAGGAGAGTGAGGATGAATGGGAGAACAAGGAAGAACAAAAAGAGCGAGGATGAATGGGAGAACAAGGAAGAACAAAAGAGTGAGGATGAATGGGAGAAAAAGAACGAAAGAGTGATGATGAACAAAGGAGCAAGGATGAGCAGGAGGTGAGTGATGCTGAACAAAGGAACTAAGGATGAACAGGAGGAGAGTGATGATGAACAAAGGAGCCAGGATGAACAGAGGAGACTGCCTAGACCGAGGTACAACATCATATTTTGTGTGAACCATGCAAAAAGTATACTCAGGCAAGAATTGAGAGCTTCCTCTTATCTCAATAAATACATGAAGCAACGGATACAGGCTCGACATATGATTCATCAAATTTTCATGCAAGGAATTAAGCTTACATCCTACATCAAGAAAGAGGTATTGAAGGTTAAGAATGCACACTACAATGGATCCAATACCCCACAAGGGAACAATGCTTCTGCTTCTCTTACAGTTGGTGGTACGTTGCAGCATACTACAATAGAAATGGTGGGCTGTGATGATGAGTTCAACATGATAATGAATAAGCTGACCAACAATCCAAGCAACGAGATATTGTGTCAATTGTGGGAATGGGTGGAATTGGTAAAACCAACTTAGCTAAAAGAATTTATGGAGATGCTTCATTCATTTCTCGCTTTGATTGTCGAGCTTGGGTTACTATCTCACAGGATTATAATCTAATAAACGTGCTCAAAGCCCTTCATCGTTCTCTTGACCCAGCAGGGGTCGTCTATGAAGAAAAGAATGAATTGGCTATGCGAGTAGACAAATGTGTCAAAGGTAAAAGGTATTTGATTGTAATAGATGACATATGGAGTACAAATGTTTTGGATGATTTAATGAGATGTTTCAAGGATGGCAAGAATGGAAGTCGAATGTTGTTGACCACTCGCCTAAAAAATGTGGCTGAGTACGCTGATTCACGTGGTAATCTTTGTCATACCATGCGTTTTTTGGATTCATATGAAAGTTGGAACCTTTTTCGCAACCAAGTGTTGCCCAAGAGAATAACTTTTTACCCTTGAATTTGAAAGAATTGGTGCAGAGATAGTAAAGAAGTTCAAAGGATTACCTCTTTCTATTAAAGTGGTTGCTGGACTCCTCTCAAACCCCAAACAAGACTTAAATGAATGGGAGCTAATTGCAAAAAATGTCCATGCATTAAGTATAGATCATTCAAATCAGCAGGGTGAAAACATCATTGACTTGAGTTACAGCTTCTTACTTCATCATCTTAAACATTGTTTCTTGTCAATTTGGTGTTTTCGAGAAGACGAAGAATTTGCTGAAGATTTTATTGTTGATTTTTGAATTTCGGAGGGATTTCTAAAGGTTTTGAGGTCTAAGAGCTTGGAAGATGTTGCAAGAGAATCCTTAAAAGATCTTGTAGATAGGAATCTCCTTTTAGTTTCTACAAAGATTGGTTTTAATGGATCAATGAATATATATCAAATGCATGATGTGTTGCGTGAATTGGTCTTGAGAGAAGCTCGGAAGGAGAATCTATTATGTCTCAGAAATGATGACTCTATCTTGAGTGTGGGGTTTAGGAGAACTCAACCAATAAACTCCTCTCGTATATCTCACTCATGGAGTATCCAATCAAAAATTTGCAGTTACAACTCTTTATCTCATACCTGCAGCACCTTTTTATGTTTGAGTTTAATTTATTCAGTCAGCAGTTTCATTATCATCATTATTTTAAGTTTTAAGGGGATTGATACTATGAGCACACTGCGATGCCTATGCGTCTATAGAGTTAATGGGTCTAGTGCACTTGAGATATCTAAAATGTGATTTTACTTTGAAACTTAATTGTCTACCCTTGTTCATGTTATGGAATTTGCAAAAGCTGGATGTTGATTTTTGTCCTTCAATAAATGAACCCCTTAATATTTGGGTATTGCCCCAACTGAAGAATCTCCGCCTTCTGAAGACCATTAGACTGGTTCCTCCAAGATCAGTTCATCATAATTTGGAGAGCATTAGATTTTTGGATAATAGGAGTTGTACAGAGGAGTTGTTTATGAGAATCCCAAATCTAAGGACATTGGGAATTGACCTGAAATGCAAAGCATTCAATTGGTTCCAAAGCCTTGCCTGTTTATATAAACTGGAAGATCTACAAGTTTGTGGCGAACTTTTTCATCCGAAGTTTAGTACTATTCATTCTATGGGGACTTTGAGCATAGAGAATTTTTTGCCAAATCTTAAGAAATTGAAACTCTGCTTTACAAAATTAAATTGGAAGAAAATGTATGTTGTTGGGATGTTGCCGAAGCTTGAGATCCTCATCTTGGGGGATAAAGCTGCTGTTGGCGGAAAATGGAAACCCAGGACCGATGAAGGATTTCCTGGGTTAAAGTTCTTAAGCATAAAATATTGTGATCTACAAATTTGGAAAGCCACGAGTGACCATTAATGTCTAGTCCTCATAAAATTATTTAATTTTAAAAAGATTCTTACTAACTTTGCAAATATAACTACCCTCAAATCGATCAAGTTACATCGATGTTCAAAGTCAGTTATATCTTCTGCCATGTGTATTCAAGAAGAGAAACTAGACTACGGAAATGACGCGTTTATGTTGATTTGTTACGGTTAGATTTCTAGCTACTTTTGTTTTTTTTTTAAATTAATAATTATACTTGTAACTTTTAATCCATAATTTTCTTATTAATTTTAATCCAAATTTATTTAAATTTCTATTCTATAGATGATGGTGTTTTGCTTTCCAGGTTTGAGGACGACTTTGATGAATATTTATGGAAATAATTCCACCAGAGGTCCTTTCAGTAAAGGTATAAATTAAATATCTTATGTGTCCACTTCAATATATAAGTTTAATTTGTCTGTGCAAGATCAAATTAAATTAAAAGTCACTAATTTTAAGATCACAATTCGAATTGAGTAGGGATATTAAGCCTAGATGATTTTTTGTCAAATCTTAAAAAATTGGAACTCTTGGGTACAAGATTAAAATGGAAGGATAGGGATTACTTTGTCTAAGCTTGAGGTCCTCAGATTGAAAACATGTGTTGTTAATGGTAAAAGATGGGAACCCAAAGATGGAGGGTTTCATAGATTGAAGTTTTTGGAAATATTTTATTGTGATCAACAAAGTTGGGAAGTCACTAGTACGTGATCATTTTCCTATTCTTGAATGTTTAATTCTTAGATGGAGATTTACATCGTGCCATCTTAAATCATTTGCCATGCATAGACAATAAGAGCAACGAGAGTATGGAAACGATGCATTTGTTGCTGATAATTTCGAGTAAGATTACTAGCTAGCTACGTCGCCTTTCAAAAAGTTGAAATTAAGATTCTAATTTTTTAATATAATCGTTAATAATCATAACTGTAATCCAAATTTATTTCAAGTTTGTGAAAGAGCGAAAGGTTTTATCTATATCTTCATAGAGTGCTGTACAGATTACAATAATTTATACCAAAAGCTATTATCTAATGGGTCCACTGTAATGGATCTAGGGTTTCAACACTCTCCCTCAAGCCGGTGAGTATAGATCATATGCTCCAAGCTTGTTACAAATATACCCAACTCTAGGAGTTCTAAGAGATTTTTTTAAGATATCAGCTAACTGATCCGCAGAATTGACAAAGCTAGTTTTAATGCACCCTGACACAATTCTCTCTGATGAAGTGGCAGTCAACCTCGATGTGTTTAGTCCTCTCATGATAAACAGGATTTGATGCGATGTGTATGTAAAGCTGCTTGGTTGTCACATAGCAATGTCATTTGGGCAACATTGCCACATTGCAACTCTTGTAGTAGGTGTTTAAGCCACATAAGCTCAAACGTGGCAAGTGCTATGGCTCGATATTCCGCTTCAGCACTGGACCTAGCAACCACATCTTGCTTCTTACTTTTCCAAGATATGAGATTACCTCCAATGAGAATACAATAACCTGAAGTAGAGCGTCTGTCAAATGGGCAACCAGCCCAATCTGCATCACAATACCCAACAACTTGTGAATGTCCTCTATCTTCATATAATAGGCCTTGTCCTGGTGCTCTCTTGATATACCTTAGAACAGGAACAGCAGCATCCCAATGAGAATCACAAGGATTCTCAAGAAACTGACTCAACACACTAACTGCGAAAGAGATATCCGGTCGTGTGATCGTGAGATAATTCAACTTTCCAATTAATCTCCTATATCACTCTCGGTCAGGCAATGGCTCCCCCTGTCCTGGTAGGAGTTTAACATTCCGATCCATTGGATTATCAACCAGTCTACTGTCCAACATGTCAGTTTCCTCTAAAATATCCAAGGCATACTTCCTTTGAGAAATAACAACACCACTGCTAGATTG